TGGGAAAGAATCAAGATAGCAGTCTTTGTGGGAAATGCGACGAGCACGAATTTAGAAACCGAGTTTGGCTTATTTGTCGTCATTGGCACTGTGTTAAAATATAATAGTTAGCGTACATCCTTTCCCGCTGCACTTCTCCACAATCAAGATACTAAGGAAGAAAACAAAAAATGAGCTATCAGGCACCAAATCATTGCAATAAAATTACAGTAATATTACTATGTATCTATTATATATAGTTTCCAATTTTATGCAAAGATTACGTCAATCTTTGGGTATATTTCATCGCGAGAGTTCCTCCCTCCCAAATTGTGGTTTCCATGACATAACCAGCCGTTATTCAGAGAAAAAGACTAAAATACTTAGAAAATGAATGTATTTGAACAATATTTGGCCCATAATATGTCCTCTCTTTGTGTTCTATAGCTGAAAGGATTTCAGCTTTTGCACCTCATGAAATCTTGGGATACTTTGTTTGCCTATCAACGGTGACCTATAAAATCAATTACATACGACATGTAACTGTGTGGAAATGTAAGCATCCAATCTTAGACTCCATTAGTCGCGTGGGCGTAGTCTAGTATAAATTAGAGGGAACCAGTCCCCAAGGCTTTGTAGTCTTTGTGCTTAGCAACGGCCCGCGAATCCCCTCGCGTTTTCAGAGACTCTGTTTGGCGGAGGCGATTACGACAGGTATGTTCTGGGAGATATCGCTTTTTAGCCACGCCGTAGGAGTTTGTGTTAATATTGTGATGTTCAGACTTTCGTGACAAAGAATGCTGAAAAGTTGTTCGCATTATTAGTCAGATCATATCCGTCTTTGAAGGAGTATTTGGAGCACATCGAAAGCCGATGTGTTGGCAATGACCGACACCTCAGCGAGATGATCACGCAGTGGGCGCGTGGCAGGCAAGGAGCTATATCCATGTCGCGGGTCGACCATGGGGATGCAATGTTAATCTATTCGTCTGGGCCGATTAGGTACGATGTGGCGATTGATTTTGATGGCCATAAAGTTGATTTGGCACGGGATGCCAATGGGCTGGCCGCTAGGCCCCGCGAAAGTGTTTACCGGAGCCTTGACAACGGGGCTCTTATTAAACGGCTGAATGCGATCGATTTGGACGGATTCCACAAGGCGAAATATGTTCTTGAGCACGATGATTTTGATCGTCTTCTTGGGGAGATGATGGGCTATCGAAAAGCGAGAGTTTCTTTGGTGTTTTGTCCATGGTCTTATGCATGTTGTTCGCGATGATCATCCCATTTACGCAACTTGCACCCATTTTCCTTTAGAACTAGGGTTTTACGATTCGTTGCCAGCGGTTAGAATTCGTTGTACGGATTCCTCAGCTATGGAATAGTGACTATTTGGTGTTAAGAATTCATTCTTGTTTCTCCGCGGAACCGTATCAGAAGAAGGAACGTTAATGAGTAGATACAATCTGTTGCTATAGTCAGATCCTCCACTCCTCTCTCGAAGACACAAAATCAAGGTACTCTACCGGATTTCAAGACGGAGCAGTATGACCACAAGAACAAAAGTTAACAGGAAAACGCTAGCTCTGGAGGTGGGCAGCACGTCGAGGGAAGGCAAGGCAATTTCCGATATATGCCAACAGATAAACGTAATTTTAGGTGAAGGATGAACAGTGTATCCTGGAGACTATTTAAAATTATTTTTTATTGAGCTTAATACTCTGACACCAGTTGGTCAACTTTGCTGGCATTATCTTCGAAAATACCTCAATCTTGAGCGGGTTTGAGGGGACACGGTTGCGGCGGGACGCAGTTATATACAGAAACTGGAGCTGATAACGTTATTTTGCTATTTATGATCTAACTACTATACATGACCGGCTTTGGCATTTCTGTCGTGTGACACGGCGGTTGACTAGGCTCTAGGTCCAGAAGATCATTCATCTGTGAAATCGAAATTTCAACTATCTTGAACCTTTCTTCGGTCGGGCCTTTGAGTAATCCCTACATCTGGACCCATAGTGACGATGGTCCCTCAACACAAAGTATACGCTAGTCTAGTGATTCTGTACCCTAGGGGCTTCAAAGGAAAAATCTGACTTGACTGAATCGAAAGATTTGAAATTCGACCATAATGTCTGAATTGTTAAAGCAAGCCTATCCGAAAGACCGGCCTGACGAGGCTGAATCAAGTCAGACATGTTGATGTAACTTAATACAGATCTTACGTTCACAAACCTAATAAATGGAAAATCTTCATAGACACCTTGAAAGCTACTTAGAGTTCAAGACATTCGCATGGGAAAGGAGAAAAGAAGAAAACATAATGAGAAAAGAAAAACAAAGCAACAAAGAAAATGACTTGCTATGAATAGAAACCTCAATTCTCTAACGGTTCATTTATGACTATCAACTCCGTGTCCAATGCTTCGTCACAACTGGTCAAAATTTAGGGTGTATTGACTGAATTTTGTTTTACTCCATTGACTAACGTGCGTCCCACCGCAACCGTGTCCCCTCGTACCCGCTTGGGATTGAGGTACTTTGGAAGAAAATGCCAGAAAAATCGACCAACTGGTGGCAGATCATTAAGCCTAATTTAAAATAAGGATTTAATATCTCCATTGTAGACTGTTCAATTTTCACACAAAATTACGTTGATCTTTTGGCGTATTTCATGGCAAATAAACTTCTGTGGCTAACAAGGTTACTGTGGCAATTTGTGTTAAGCTTCCATGGTACCCACTAGCTGTTGTTTACGAAATTAAGTTTATAAATTCTTGGTAAACAGGTCCCTCCAATCAAGATGTAATAAAGATTATATATTCTATACACTGTTCATATCTGAAATAATCTATCGTTTTTCCACACATGAAATTCTTAGGGTACTTGACCTGCTTATTCAGGATTGTTTTGTACAGCCTATTACATACAGAACGTCCTGGTAATGTAATGTAAGCAGTTCTAATTTTAGAGATTCCTGGCCACGTGCTGCTTGGGGTCAGTCGTGTTGCCCACATCCAGAGCCAGTTTTACTTTTTCCTGTCACACTCAAACACTCTAATCTGATGAACGAACACCACGACCCAGCAACAACTGTGCTCGTCCTAAACGAACAGTCTGAACAGCCCAAAAATTACTCTGCCCTATCGAAGTCTAGCGGTATTCCAAGCTCTACGTTACGCGATCGTGACCATGGTAGGATTTCCAAAAAGGAGCGAGCTGTGGAACAGCAATACCTTACTCCACAGGAAGAAAAGTCGCTGCTGGAATACGTTCTCCGGTTATCGAAGAATGGTTACCCTCTCCCGGTCAAATTCTTACGTGCTCTGGCGTGGGAGATCGCCCGCCGACGCTCATCACATATGCAAATCCCGGTCGCCAATGAAGCCACTCGCCCACCAGGGAAGAACTGGCCACAAGCATTTTACCACCGTCACCCCCAGCTGACATCGAGAACACTAAAAGCAATAGACTGGAAGAGGCATGATCACAACATCTACGACAAGGTGCAGGAGTGGTTTCGCGTCATCAAAACGGAGCTGGACAATCCCGCGATCCTCGCGGAGAATGTTTATAACATGGATGAGACAGGCGTCCTCCTGAGCGTTCTGGGTGCTCTCAAGGTGTTAGTAGGGCGGGAGGAGATGTGTAAATATCGTGGTGCTGCTGTAAAACGGAAAATGGTTACTGCCGTTGAGTGCCTGTCGGCAGATGGTAGGTCACTGAATCCCCTAGTCGTTTGGCCTGCTTCTACCCACCGTAGTAATTGGACCACTTACCCCACTCCTGGATGGCATTTTGCCTGTTCAAAGAACGGATACACAGACAGCTCCATTAACCTGTACTGGATCCAGCATGTCTTTGACCCTCAAACCAAGGCTCGTGCTGGTAAGCGGCCGCGCCTTTTGATTAGCGACGGGTTTGCTGCGCATGAGTCCCTCGAGGTCTTGAAGTTTTGTCTAGCAAATAATATCATTCCCTGTCGACTTCCCTCGCATACTTCGCATAAGCTTCAGCCGTGTGATGTGGGCGTGTTCAGTGCCCTGAAGACTGCTTATCGGGAACAAGTAGAGCTCTTTTATCGGGGTGGAGCTAATGCTGTGCGGTTGGAGCATTTCACTTCCCTTTATAGCCGGGCGCGAAACCCTGCTGTAACGGCCCGTAACATCAATGCGGGCTGGTCTAAAACTGGATTGTTTCCTTGGAACCCTGACCGGGTACTGAAGGACATTCAGCCGCCCCCAGGAGCCAGTGGCTCCAACAAGGGGAATGCTGCTAAAGTAGCCCATTGCCCTGCCAGTGCAGAGCTGCTACAAACACCACAAACACCCATCACGGCTGACGGTCTAAAATGGCTGTGTCATAAGATGCAAAAAGAAGCTCGTGGGTGGGACGAAGATTCTAAGCTTCTCGTCAACCGTCTTGCCCACGCAGCGGAGAAGGCATTCGCGGACCGTGCACTTCTTCGTAATGACAACGAGCGGCTGTTGGCACAGAACAATGAAAAACGAAGTCGAACATCGAAGCCAGCGCGCAAGGTGGGCAATGCTAAAGTCATGAGCTACGAGGATATAATCGAGGCCCAGCGCAACCTTGAGGCAAAAAAAGCCTCCCAGGCTGGAAAGCGCAAGACCAAGTCCAGTAGTGGGCGCCAACCAAAAAGGTCTTGCAGTGATGATGTACGAAGGGCTGAAGATGAAATACAAAGCTGGGACTTCAAAGAGTACTGTTCGGTTATTAGCTTTTGACATTTCTGCTTTTGTCAGTTAGGTTACTTTTAGATTGCGATTGATTATGCAGTATGTATGTGGCACAGTCCAAGAGATCATAGAGCAATTTGGCATTTCAAAGTATGAACAAAGTTAGCCCATCGTAGTGAAGACAGAGTGACAGAAGTTCTCAGCAACATGATAAATATCAAGAAACCTCCTGCGGTACGGTACTGAAGACGGCTGAAACCTCGGCATTCCTCACGAACCCGTAATTGTCTTTGCGTACCTATTCAAAGCTAGGATAAGTCAAAGTGCCGCAATTAATTGTACAGACAACCCAAAAAAAATATTAACTTTGTCTTTGAACATGATGCAGTCCCTGCAAGCAGGCGAGCTTATCAATATAACCGCCTCGGTTAATGATGCCGGGGGTGGCGCATTAGCCATACTGATCAGGTCCTCATGTCTGTCTTTTTGGTGATTTAGAACCTCCAGTTGGCTTTCAAGCCGTAAAAGCGGAGCGGCTTGGGGGGTAGCGATTAGCCGATTTAGGGTGGTTTCAACAGATTTGAGCTCCAACTTCAATGCCCGGATTTGATTATGTTTACCGACGAGCTTTTCATCCCCATCGAATAGCTCATTCTCTAGGTCCTTCTTTCTCTTTCTTAGAGACGTAACTTGGCGCCCCGTTTGAGTCGTTGAAAGGAACTCCTCAAGCTCATCGTCGTTTAACTCAATCTCTGTCTTCAGTTCTGAGTCCGGCTGTCCATCGCGTGGGAGGAATACATGACGATCAATGAAGTATGCAATCAACTGCTTTTCTGCATGACATGCATTGTATTGACCATCTCTACCCTGATCGTAGTTGTCACGAGGGAAAATATGGCCCACGACTTCCGAGATGTAAAATACGTCATCGGTCCACTGCCTGCCGTCGACCCTGAGAGACTGGACAGAGGGATGTGACCATCCGCTCATAGCTCCAACGGAAGGGAATTTCCCGCCTCGTTCCAGGCGTGCCACCGTCTGCCGTCTTCGGATAATCGGATATTCTTCAATTGGACCATATAATACAAGCGAGTCTTGCATAGGCGAGTGTTTGAAAGAGTAGGACTGGGACATGATTAAGGTGGGAGGTCTCCCAAAAGCAATTCTTGACTTCCGGTTCTCTCCTCCGAGGAGGCGTACAATTTCCTGGCGATCAATGTCCCTCTGGAATGTATCCTCGATATAACCCAGTCGTCGATAAGATGAAGACATGGAGTTGCCCCCGGTACGATCGTATATCTCTCGTTTGTTTCGGCGCTTGTCTTGAGCAAAATCAATGGCCTGTCGGTTTTCGATATCTCGAAGATTTTTGTCTGCATTGTTCTTGAGGAGAACCTTGACGTTCTCGACCCGACCAAAGAGTGCTGCCTCCATTAACGCAGTCCTTCCACTCTTGGCAGCAGCATTTACTTCAGCCCCATGCTCAATAAGAAGAGACACCATCGCCGAGCTCTGCTCAGCTGCTGCGATGATTAGGTTTGTTCGACCATCGGTATATCGGCCCCGGATGAACAAGGGCGCTTCACTAGAGGTGTCCAGATATTTCTGCACCGCTTCTACATCCCCGCTAGCGCAGTCACTGATCGGTTGAAGAATTCTTTTCTGTTCGAATGGGTCGACTCCATGTCCTGGATTGATGGTGACAACTTCCTTTGCGTCTTGGTGAATACTCGTAAAATTTTCTTCTCTCTGTACTGCGACGGCAGCCTCTTGAGCAAATTGAATCGTCAAACGATCAACATCATCATCATCCTCCCTATCACTCTCATACGATACACAAATGTTGTGATAACGTCCTCGTCTCTTGTCGATTTCGTACGCAACCTCCCCTTGATCGTTCATGGGGAAGCAGCAATGATAAATTCCCATCTTCTCGCAATGCGAGTATCTCAACTTCTGTGCCTCCCAGTTTATGCCGTGGCAATGAACTTCCTCACAGAATGGACAGCGAATGTAGTAGTTGGACGCATTCCACCAGATAACGTCGGCTTCAGGGAAAATTTCCATTGTAGAATGATATTCATGAACTAGGAGCGAATTGGTTCGACAGGTAGCTGATGACCTTGACAAGCTAGCTGGAAGTAAGCACGCGAGAAGCGAATATGATAATGTAGATGAATCCGCCAGTATGAGAGAATTCCAGTATTAGCGGGTCAAAGTAGGTATGTAGGGATTATGGCGCATAAGCCCGAATCATGTCCAATCAGCCACTTTATGTTGGTTCATGATGTTCGGTGCGTGAAGCAGGCCGCCGGAGTCCGAATGACGTCAATGACGAGTGCAAGTCAATCATTTTCAGACTTTGAGAAGAACAAAATCACGTGACTATATCAAGGTCAAATATGGAATTGTTTGTTTACGGGACAGATCTGTTACAGGATCGTTGGTATTGTAATTTTACATTTAGCCTTAGTAAGCAAACTGGGTATCCCAAGGGTCTCAGGAGCGAGAGTATATCAAGTCTTTTCAACTATAGACTATGAAGAAAAGATGAAATTCTTCGTGGAAAATATTATGATGTATCTATCTACTATTGGGATAAATTTTTGTTGCCCCGAAGACAAGGAGGTTGTGAGCCATGTTGGATTTGACCGAATTCTAAGAGAAACTCAGAGCACACGGTCGCAACTCTCGCATCGAAATATACACAACAAAGGACGTAATTTTAGGTAAAAAATTAAGTGTGTCAACAGTTGAGTAATATTGAATAACAGGGCTTTGCTTTCAACGTAACTATCATCCGCGTTGTTCATTTTTAAGGGTCTAGTTCCAAAGTATCTTGAGGTTGAGCGGGTGCAGCGGGAAGCGGTTGCTGAGGGATTGACGTTATCTCTGCAATATTTCGGCACAGTTACGACTTTTGCCACCATGTAGATCAGTTAGGAGGGGTCCATATCATCGTTAAATGTAGATCTGGGATCGAGTCTCGCTTCATTAAGAGTTTTTGTAATTTCTGGAGAGTCTCCAAGACCAAGTTGTCAATCCGTGGAATTTTCTTGGCGGCGTCTTTGGCCTGCGGGCTACAACTCGTTAACGACTTGCCCCGATTCATAGCGAACAACAATGATGAAGTGTGCAAACGTACATCACGTTATGAAGAGGATATTCAGCCCTATCTCCTCATCTTGCACGCAAATTGTCTCACCTGCCTTTTATTTTGATGCCAGATACCCCCTTTCGATAACGTTATTGTTCTGTAGACCAGTTCAAATAGAATCAATAAGCCGACGATATACGGCTATCAGTCCCGCCACATTCTGTTATCACTGGCTGAAGGTCTCCCACAGAAAAGTTAATAGATTCCTCCCTGACCGAGAAAAAAATGCTTCACCAAAGCACAATTCTTCTTTTCCACTGGTCTAGCATTTCTCATCTCGCCTCTTAGTACCCACAGCAAATATGCGGGTGGTAAAGTTGCTCGCCATTCTGGGTGTCGCTTTGTGCAAGGCTGCTGCTGAGGGTTGTGGCCTTTCCTCATATTTTATCAAGCATGATACTCATGATCATGTTCGCAACGGTCAATCGCAATCTGGCATTGTCCATCCGGCGTCTAAACGTGCCGGCGGTGTTTCCACTACAGCCGATCTGAAGTCTCAGGGTTCCTCTCCCTCCAGAATACCATCGATGATTCTTCCAAGGTCCGCGGCAGTGCCCACGATCTCATCTTTCGAATGGACGGCCTCCACTGTTTACACGACACGCGTGATCACTGTCATAAGCTGCGCTCCTACAATCACCAATTGTCCCGCTGACTCGACAGCGATCGTGACATCAACGGCTGCTGTTTCAACCACTCAGCTCCCAGTGGCATCGATATCTTCGAAGCCGAATCAACCTACCCGCAGCCGATCATGGCTCGTCTCTCCTTTTCAGTCCCAAGCTACTCAGTTACATTCCACTCGGGAAACCCGTACCCCGGCACTATCTCCATTGCCTGTATTGCCGACGGATGCAAGCACAGTCCAGGGAATCTCTCCATGGGCAACTTCCACCTTCTATACTACTCGCATCGTCACTGTGATAAGTTGTGCAGCCACCGTGACCGACTGTCCTGCCCACTCTACGAGTTTACTCACTTCCACGATGGCTATCTCATCAACTATATACACCGTGACCACTACAAATTTATCCACTAGCCGGACCACAAATCTCAACCCGTCCAGAAGCCTTTCTCCGCCACCTTCGACTTCGATGAATCCGTTTACTCCATCCGAGAGCCCCAGTCTAAGCACCTCTTCTCGGTGGTCCGCCTCGACGGTCTATACGACCAGATTCTTTACTGTGACAAGCTGCGCTCCTACTGTTACCGACTGTCCAGCGGAGTCTACTCGGGTTATAACATCTACCTTTTTGAGCTCTCTTACTTCTACCACTACTAAATTGGTCACTGAGGCAACCAGCAAGACAATGACCAGGACCCTGCCTGCTGAGTCTTCTCTCTTCTCCAGCACAGGAAGTACGTCTGGCTTATTGTCCACGGAAACAACTCAAACAACGACCAATATGCCTCTCCAATCTACTACTACTACATCCTTCCATACGACTGGGATGAGCAGTGCCATCACAGCGACCGACTTATCTTCGGCTTCCCTTGGACCGCCAACATCTACTACCGTAATCTCAATAATTCCGTCCTCGATAATTGAACCTTCAACCGGGATGCCTCCCATCGAATCGACTTCACCCTCTGCTGCATTCCAATCTACTTTCAAGCAACCATCTCCGCCAATCAGCTCACAAGATTTGCCCAGATCAACAGTGACTTTGGTGGCGCACACCACTACAACTCTTTGCTCAATAACAACAACGGTCACCGCGTCCCCTGTGGTGGGCGCCCTTTCATCACAAGGCGTACGTCATTCCGATGCAGAATCAATGAGCCGGTCCACTACTGGCGGGGACTCGGCAACCGGGGAGCATCCTCGCAAACCTTTGCAGAGCTCTCTGACCACGCACCTTTCAGGAGATAGCATTTCCAGTCCTATCTCTCCACTCACCACAATCACCGATACTCCCTCAAGCGATGGCTTCGAAGTGGCCACATATTGTATTCAGTCATGGCTTTGGCTTGTACCGGAATGCCAGTCTGTCGATAAAATCAGTTGCTTTTGCCTCCAGTCAAAATCCATGGAAGAAGTAGTTTCTTGTGTTGCGGATGAGATGTCAATGCGTGCGACGACCAAATTGTCGATGGAATCAACTCGTCAGGCTGCAAGTGATGCATTCACTGCTCTGTGTGCGCAACAACTTTCCCAATTTCCGGAGCACCAGAGCCTTGTCCTGTCAACAAATACACCCTCTACAGATACCATCATGTCAGAGTCATGGTCTCTAGCCTTAATTCCTTCCGTCACATCTACAGTCTCTGCAGTACACATTACCAGCAATCTCCCCATCGACCAAATAGCCTCGGCAGGCAGGTTGGACCGTTCTCAAGCAGATCCAAGTTCATCACTGGTGTATAGTCCCGTGAGATCATCTTCGCGTGTCCTATCCACCACATATATTCAATCTACAAGGGCCACGTATGGCTCTCACGGAATCCCAAGTGCTTCAATTCAGACTGCCATAGCGAACTCGGCCACAATGGAACGAGGAAAGCTCTTCTTGCTTCTGGGGGCTCTCACAATAACGTTTGTTATGTAAAGAGCGATACGTGTGCTAAGCTTCCCTAGAGAAATTCCATTTATATGTCTTAGGCTCTATTGTTTCGAGGCGATCATCTCATAGTGCTGGTCACTCGGCTAGCAACTTGCCTGTTTGAATTCTGCCATCTGCCTCGGGAGTTAACGTGCGAGCATGTCCACCCAACCTGCTCGGAATTGGGGGAGGTTGGAAGGCAGCGCAGGATAGTTGCAGCTACTGTCAGACTATTTACAATTAGAGATAGGATTTAATAATTTCCCGTAAAGAATGTTCTACTCCCACCTAAGATTACACTTATTTGTCGGCATATACAAGTTGCCTTCCCTTCTCTAGAAAGATTTGGGTGGCAAACCGTGCTAGGCTTGAATGGATCCCAACCAGCAATATATTACTGATCCAAGACAATATATATAAACTTTACGGAGATTACGTCGGTGCAAATCAGCTTCATTATTTGATCAGCCTCTGAATTTTTAGGGAATCCGGTCTGCTTGTCAGCGATTTTTGGTAGATCCAATTCCATAAAAAGCGTACTGGGCATATAACATAAGGAATTCATGTTTAGAGATACCTGACCACGTGCTTCTCGGGGTCATACCTGTTTCGCACCGCCAGAGCCAGTTTTACATTTTCCTGTCATACCAAACGTTATGAATAGTATGGCCGAATATTAAACAAGTCTATTACATTATTATTTTAAACGAACCAGCAACGACCAGTCTGGAAAGCCACCCTATAGAAGTCTAGCGATATTCCAATCCTGTAGCGATCTTTGCATCTTAGAATTCATGATGGCGTAGGTCACGTTGAACATCGTATTAATAAGCCTGATTTGCAGATTTTGGTAACTTATCATTATTTCATACCCCAGAGGTAATTTTGAACCAGCTAATCTGGTATGGTTTTAGGTGCAACTGGACTTATGAAACGCGGACCATTCAGATCAATGATTTTGTTGACATCGTAAGGCGCATGATAGATGATTGATTTTTTTACTCTATGACTTGAGCGTTTCTAATTGAGTGGATATAAATTCTCGAAATGTCAACAGAAGCCCATTTCAGCATCCGCCACAAAATCCTTTTCATCCGTTCTAATTTGGTATAGGTGACGGAGCCAAATTCGAATATAGTCTAAAATAGGCCAAAACATCGTACAGTGCGGCTGTGATTTAAATTGAGTGAAAGCGTAGCAGAACTTCCGTGAAAGCAACTTGAATTATTTAAGTACTTAAAAAATGTCACAAAGTATGTACAATACGATAACGTCGAACATGCCTGTTGTTTCTACTAACCCAGCTGAACCAAGACGGTCAATATAGTTCTGAATATGTAACGGATTGTCCCTCGTTTTTGAAAACTGATGAATCTGATAGCTCAGAAACATCAAACAGCTTTGCTTCAGAGACTCCCGGGGCTGAGGTGTCTGGGAAAGAAGCATGGAGGACCACCAAAACGAAGGCTGCCAACAAGCCGACTGCCCTGAAGGCTGATACAAAGGTGACTGCCCCAAACAAAAAGGTGACTGCCCCAAAGGCTGCGAAAGAGGCGACTGCCCCAAACAAAAAAGTGACTGCCCCAAAGGCTGCCAAAGAGGCGACTGCCGCGAAGGCTGCCAAAAAGGTGGCTGCCCCAAACAAAAAGGCGACTGCCCCGAAGGCTACCAAAGAGGCGACTGCCCCAAACAAAAAGGTGACTGCCCCAAAGGCTGCGAAAGAGGCGACTGCCCCAAACAAAAAGGTGACTGCCCCAAAGGCTGCCAAAGAGGCGACTGCCGCGAAGGCTACCAAAGAGGCGACTGCCCCAAAGGCTGCCAAATGGCGTAGTATTTGTGAGGAAGAAAGGACGAAGTACGACTACTTGACTCAGGACATCATGGATTGTATCACTAGATGGCTCGGTGACTGGTCTTCGAAACGCCCGCGTTGCACGCAGTGTTCTATATCCTCTGGAAGCTCTATTTCTGATGAATAGGGACCTGCAGCATTCCAACGATTTCTAATAGTCTTCACGCTGGCCGAAACGATGAAGGAGGGTCGAGTATCTAACCCATCAGGCGCTAGTCAATTATGGATTAGCAATTTGAATTCGGCGGATAGAGCTGTGATTGATCCATGATGCATAGTCAGAAACCAGACTTGAAGGAAGTGAGGAATTTCCATGCAGTTTATCTCCAAAGTCTCCAGTTATCTCTAGTATACATGACTCTTTGATTTTGTTCTATTTGTTAAGCTAGAAATAAATTTATAAGATTCCAGTATCCCTAACTCATATTTTCGCAAGGAGTAAAGAGCGTGTGGTGCACATTCGCGATGTACGACGGATGATACTTCCAATACCTTGAGCTAGGATTCACGATCAAATTGTTCAGTTTCGATACAATGCATGATGTGTTTAACGTTGTTCACAAATAAGAACATTCTTTCTGACATGATCAATAATACAAGTGGCGGATGAGAGCTAAAATGGGCATGATTATTTAGATAGACTACTAGTGCCAGGATCTCGCATATCGATTTCATGATACGATCGAAATGATAAGGATTAGTCTTCAGACACCTAATGGAATTGTGTCAATATTAAAATAGGGAGAACCTTCTGGATAATAAAGAAGAAATGATAAAAAATAGTGTATTATCACTTGAGCTTTAATCTGTTTGCTGTATACGAGAGAAGCTCTCGGTGACTCTGCCATTTAGCTTCAGGTAAAATACAGGATGGACTATGAAACAGAAGGCCTCTTATTGGCTAAATCAGCTTTCCTTGTAGTTTCTAGGCAGTGATGTGGCTTAGTAACAGTTCTGCGGCCGTAACTGAAAAAAAATGCCGTTCCCAAAAGGTGGTCACAACTGAGCACCGTAAAGGAGTTGATTATTGTTTTCTCAGGGAAATATAGGCATGATGCCAAACATTTGATAATCAGGTCAAACCTGACTATGCAGGGTTCAGTGTGAAAGGGTATCATCCTGAGGCATCAAAGAGTACATTGAATCGCTTAAGCCAAATTGTATCCAAATTTTTGTTCTAGTTAGTCTACGAAAGAGACTGAATGAAACTCAACTGACGGATAGTATACTTTATTTACCTTAGGAATGCAAACTCCACCTACAGGAGGATCAAACATGACCCTGTCTAAATCAGTGGTATCTTAACTGGTAGCGGAATAATGTCAAGGAAAGAGCATGAGATACCATTTAGATAGAAGCGAGAGCACATACTAGTCACATTCTGTACTAACGCCTCTTTAGCTAGTTAGACATGAAAAAAAAGACAACAAAAGCAAGCAAAAGAAAAAAGCCAAACCTCTAAAGATGAAATATACAGAACCATTGATTACTCTGCGACTAGTTTAAATCTTGGTCAGCCAAACGGCCAAGCAGACTGATGTCAAAGAGAATGTCACTGCTAGGCATGTGGATGCAATGCTGTGAGAGCCAAGACTTGCCCGGGCGCCATACTCTCCTAAAGTCTGGTTGACTTCTTCTGTATAGGAGCTATAGAAACTGATTACCCAAGAGGTCGCCACAGTCAACAGTACAGTTGTGATCTGTGTTTGGTCAGCGTTCATAAGAGTCATCGGAATGGGCGGAAGCTTACCGCAGAGCACACCAGAAAAAAACCACCGACTTTGGAGAAAAAGAGACGGTTGATGCTCGCAGTCAAAGTCAAGAATGCTGTGACGAAGCCAGATGTGTACAGGCAGATGATTGCATAGGAGTGATGTGCATTTCCGGAAAGGAAGCTCCTCTTGCCGTTTCCTAACCATGCGGCCAATTTGGCGGCGTAAGTAGAGAATGTCGCCCACAGACTGAATGAAAATGAAATTTCGGGATTTGTGCAGCGCGATATCGTACCATTTTGGCCTTCACAGTAACCCAGAAGGCCAACGTGGTAGTAAGCGGGCAATTCCCCCTTTACGTCTGTGCGTAGCGTATCGAGATAGCTCCGTCTTGGTCTAACCACATGATCTACGAAGTCAGCCTCGTGCTGCTTACCGCTATCCGCATCTCCTATCTGTACCGAGACTGTTGTATGGTCTCTATGAGTCAATTCTGGTGAGCCGCGGGCATGAAGAGTGCTTATCTGTGGAAAATCGGTCAGGTCAACCTATAGATCTCAGTCAGCGTTATTCCATTCGATGTTGCGTAGGCGGCTCCTTATCACCTTCATGAAGTACAAATTAAAAGGAGAGAATGGCGATGTGCATCCAACAAATACAATGGTCAAGCAAATCAGTGTAGCTACAGAGGACAGAACTGCGAAGATAGAGACCCTCTGGTCAAGTGTAGCTTTTGGGCGTGACCTCATGATAGCAGACTTATTCATAGGGATCGAAGTACGAAGCAGACCATGCAAACAAGCATGAGTATATGTAGAATGAGGAGGGCGCCGTTCCCATCCAAGCCTCGTTGTAACGTGCGTCCCACCGCAACCGTGTCCCCTCGTACCCGCTCGGGATTGAGGTACTTTGGAAAACAATGCCAGAGAAATTGAGCAACTGGTGGCAGATCATTAAGCTTAATTTAAAATAAGGATTTAATATCTCCATTATAGACTGTTCAATTTTCACCCAAAATTACGTTGATCTTTTGGCGTATTTCATCGCAAATAAACTTCTGTTGCTAACAAGGTTTCTGTGGCAAATTGTGCTAAGCTTCCATGGTACCCAACCAGTCGTTATTTACGAAATTAAGCTCATAAGTCTTGTTAAACAGACCCCTCCGATCAAGATGTAATAAAGATTATATACTCTATACACTGTTCATATCTGAAATAATCTATCTTTCTTCCACACATGAAATTCTTAGGGTACCTGACCTGCTTATTAAGGATTGTCTATGTACAGCCCGTTACATACAAGTCGTAATGAGCATGTAATGTAATAAATTCTAATTTTAGAGATTCCTGGCCACGTGCTTCTCGGGGTCACTTGTGTTGCCCACCTCTAGAGCCAGTTTTACTTTTTCCTGTCACACCCTAAACACTCTAAATCCGATGAACGAGCACAACGACCCAGCAACAACTGTGCTCGCCCTAAACGAACAGTCTAATAAGCCCAAAAATTACTCTGCCCTATCGAGGTCTAGCGGTATTCCAAGCTCTACGTTACGCGATCGTGACCATGGTAGGATTTCCAAAAAGGAGCGTGCTGTGGAACAGCAATACCTTACTCCGCAGGAAGAAAAGTCGTTGCTGGAATACGTACTACGGTTATCGAAGAATGGTTACCCCCTCCCGGTCAAATTCTTACGTGCTCTGGCGTGGGAGATCGCCCGCCGACGCTCATCACATACGCCAATCCCGGTCGCCAATGAAGACACACGCCCACCAGGGAAGAACTGGCCACAAGCATTTTACAACCGTCACCCCCAGCTGACATCGAGGACACTAAAAGCAATAGACTGGAAGAGACATGATCACAATATCTACGACAAGGTGCAGGATTGGTTTCGCGTCATCAAGACGGAGCTGGACAATCCGGCGATCCTCGCGGAGAATGTTTATAACATGGACGAGACAGGCGTCCTCCTGAGCGTTTTGGGTGCTCTCAAGGTGTTAGTAGGGCGGGAGGAGATGTGTAAATACCGTGGTGCTGCTGTAAAACGGAAAATGGTTACTGCCGTTGAGTGCCTGTCGGCAGATGGTAGGTCTCTGAATCCCCTGGTCGTTTGGCCTGCTTCTACCCACCGTAGTAATTGGACCACTTACCCCACTCCCGGATGGCATTTTGCCTGTTCCAAGAACGGATACACAGACAGCTCCATCAACCTGTACTGGATCCAGCATGTCTTTGACCCTCAAACCAAGGCTCGTGCTAGTAAGCGGCCGCGCGTTTTGATTAGCGACGGGTTTGCTGCGCATGAGTCCCTCGAGGTCTTGAAGTTTTGTCTAGCAAATAACATCATTCCCTGCCGACTTCCCTCGCATACTTCGCATAAGCTTCAGCCGTGTGATGTGGGCGTGTTCAGTGCCCTGAAGACTGCCTATCGGGAACAGGTAGAGCTCTTCTATCGGGGTGGAGCTAATGCTGTGCGGTTGGAGCATTTCACTTCCCTTTATAGCCGGGCGCGAAACTCTGCTGTAATGCCCCGTAACATCAACGCGGGCTGGTCTAAAACTGGATTGTTTCCTTGGAACCCTGACCGGGTACTGAAGGACATTCAACCGCCGCCCGGAGCCAGTTGCTCCAACGGAGGGAATGTTGCTAAAGTAGCCCATTACCCTGCCAGTGCAGAGCTGCTACAAACACCACAAACACCCATCACGGCTGATGGTCTAAAATGGCTGTGTCATAAAATGCAAAAAGAAGCTCGTGGGTGGGACGAAGATTCTAAGCTTCTCGTCAACCGTCTTGCCCACGCAGCGGAGAAGGCATTCGCGGACCGTGCACTTCTTCGGAATGACAACGAGCGGCTGTTGGCACAGAACAATGAAAAACGAAGTCGAACATCGAAGCCAGCGCGCAAGGTGGGCAATGCTAAAGTTATGAGCTACGAAGATATAATCGAGGCCCAGCGCAACCTTGAGGCAAAAAAAGCCTCCCAGGCTGGAAAGCGCAAGACCAATTCCAGTAATGGGCGCCAACCAAAAAGGTCTTGCAGTGATGATGTACGAAGGGCTGAAGATGAAATACAAAGCTGGGACTTCAAAGAGTACTGTTCGGTTATTAGCTTTTGATAGGCCACCTTTCTTTCTGCTTTTGAACTACGATTAAGTGCGCGCACCACGTGTTTCATACGGCAAAAGAGATCATAGGGCATTTTCGGCATTTTCATTGATCATTCATCCGTAGGATTCTGTGTACGTAGGTGGTCGCACTTGTTTCGGGACGCACTGTATAACTCTTACGGCTTTACATGATCAAACGAATGAGAATTACACCACTACACCAGTAAGACGAGTCACGGTCCTTATCATTGAGTGCTTCCGGTTGAAGATATTCACTGGGCTTTGAATTAGGGGGATATAGAAATAAAACCGAACCACATTATTTGCCTGTCTTAAACGCCAATTTACACTGGTCTGTATTGGGCATTAGCATGTGATCTAGAGATGGTAATGGATGCCCAACAATGCACAGTCATTCCTACAAGGGCTGGCTGACTGCGTTTCTGTCGATCCGTTCCCCGCTTCTTCTTTCGCCGAGGGGCCTCCTCTTTCTACCAGTGAGCCTGGGCTCAGGAGGTTTCATAACCACCAAGTTGAGAAAGATGGCAAAGAAAGAAAGGTTGGAGTGAGAGTTTCCCGTCAGTGAACCACTGCATATTAATAGACATAGATCAAGCAGATGGGCAAAGTATCGACTCTTCCTCGTCGCCTCCCGCACCGACCTACCCGGACTCTCTCGGCCCTTAAACGCTCCCCCAAGTCAGGGATGGAACGAGACAGGATTCAATACTCGACGAGTGCAGCCGGGACTTTTCAGCTTGCCTGATTTTCGATACCATGTCGCAGCGGCGCTCATACCTACATCCGTTTGGGATGATCGGGAGCTAAGCTTCTTACAAAGGTTCAAAAAAGCTCATTTTTTTGAACACTTCGGGAAGATCGAAAATCAAATTAGTAACAACGGATGGGACGAAAATGATATTAAGAGGATCGTGGCAATTGAAGAAACCGGATGGACGAACCAGGCTTTGGATGATGTTACAAATAAATGTGAGTAATTAGTTGCAAGGCTTTCCAACGAGAAACATAGCCTAGAAGCTATGGTCTTGAAATTTCTTCTTACTGTGAAGATAATTAACACGGTACAGTCAACGTCATCCTTTGGAATTGCTGGCAGGATGATTGGCCGTGTCAAAAGAAGCCCTATTATAACCCACTATGGTGGAACTGTCATGACGTTGCAATGCTTTTCATTCATCTTATTGATATATCTGGGGCTTCCGATAGAAAGCTTCCCCGTATCTATCACCTGCTATGTCGCCGGAGACGCGACCTCCAAAGCGCAATCGAGTCTCATATGATGCTCGCACCCTTGACTACAGCGGTTTCATTACGACCTGCCACTGATATATTTTCAATATTAGCTCAAATCACGGGTGTCTTTGGTGCTGGTACTGGCGTCGGTGCTTCCAGTCTTACTTTTAGCGCTGGCGGCATCGGTGTTGAAGCAGCAGGTAGCGCACTGGCTTTGACAAATCCTTTGCTGACTGGCGCTCTTGCTTTAGGACTGACGGGCTTTTTGGCAATCAAGTTATACTCCAACATAGACCAGAAGGCTGCGTTGAAGATGCGAGCCAAAATAATGGCCTGCCTTGAGGAGAAGTTCCCCAGATTGAAGGAAGCCAAACAATGGGTTGATTCGGGCTTTACGGATTCCGAGGATACTCTGGCTGAAGGGTTCAAGTTATTTCAACAATGGCTTGCAACAGATGTATGACATGTAACTTAATTTTTCTGTTCAGATGGGTTGGTTCCGTGTCCTGAATTGATGGTGACGATCTCCTTCAAATACTCGTAGATAATCGTAAAACTTTCTTCTCTCTGTACTGCAACCGTAGCCTTTTGAGTTAATTGGATCGCCAGACGATCAACATCATTGTCAACCTCCCTATCACTCTCATGCGATATAGAAACATTGTGAAAACGTTCTCGTTCTCTTGTCGATTTCATATGCAAACTCACCTCGACTATTCAAAGGGAAGGAGCATAGATAACTCTCCGTCTTTTCGCAGTGTGAGTATCTCAACTTCTGTGCCTTCCAGTTTATGCCGTGGCGCTGAACTTCATCACAAAATGGACACCGAATGTAGTAGTCGGTCGCGTTCCACCAGATAACGTCGGCTTCAGGAGAGGTTTTTATTGTGGAATGATATGCAGGAACAGGGAGCAAATTGATTCAACTAGGTTGACTAGATAGATGGAAAGAAGCAGACAAAAGGCGAATATGGGAGATCAATCCACCAGTATGAGAGAATTCAACTATCAGCGGGGTGAGATTCGACGTGGAAATGTTGGCCTTACTAAGCTGAAATTCTAGTCCAATTGGCCAGTTTATGGTGGAGTCCACCGAAATCCGAATGATGTCAAATGACAAGTGTAACATAAGTCATTTCTGGACTCAAAGGGCAATAACACGTGACTATATAGAGGTTAAATTTGGACTTGGTTTTTTACGGAACAGTAGTGTGACAGGATCGTATGTATTGTAATTTTACGTGTTCCTTTACTAAGCAAACAAATGTATCCCAAGCTTCTCACGAGCGAGCGTATATCACGTTCTTTCAAATATAAACCGAAGAGAGAGGATTAGATTCTTCGTGGAATTCGCTGTGATGCATTTATTTTCTAAGGGTATAAATTCTTGTTACTCCGGAGGATAGGAAGTTGTGGACCATGCTGGATTTGGCCGAACTATAGGAGAGATCTCAGAACACACGGTCGCAATCCTCGTAATGAGATATACCCAAAATATACGTAATTTTTCGTAAAAATGAAGTATATCGATGGGTGAGTAGTACTAAAAAATGCAATTTCTTTTTATTGCAATTTATCCGCACATTGCTCACTTTCTGTGTGTTTCGTTCCAAAGTATCTTGAGGTTGAGCGGGTGCGGCGGGAAGCGGTTGCAAAGGGATTGACGTTACTTCTTCATCAACCGGTAAATATCTGCTATTTACTTGTGGCTTGATTGTTTCCCAAACTTCCCCGTAACTTGGCCTGTGATAACAGCGAAATGTGGGCGCCTGAAATCCCGTTGTATCGCGAATATGCTATCCATACCTTGAAATGTTGCAACCTAGCACAATCCATTTCTGCCTTGCCCTCATTTCATACACCTTCTATCTACGACCCCGTTCGCCTACTAGAGCTAAGTTAACCCACTGGGAGAGGATTCAATTTTTGTAGGTCTTGTTGTGATAGATATATTTGCTAAGGAGAATAAAACCTTGTTATTCCGGAGGATGGGAGGTTGTGGGCTATGCTGGATTTAGTCGAACTGTAAAAGATATCTCGAAACACACGGTCGCAACCCTCGCCATAAGATATACATAAACTCAACGTAATTTTTTCGTTCAGATCCACTTTACCGATGGGAAAGTAATACCAATCAAATTACATAGTTTTTCTTGCAATTACCATGCGAATTATTCACTTTCTGTGTGTTTGGTCCCAAAGTATCTTGAGGTTGAGCGGGTGCGGCGGGAAACGGTTGGAGAGGGATTAACGTTACTGGCCATTACTGTCCTATTTTGCTCCGACATACCCCTACTCCGACGTCTAAATTGAACTCCTGCTCTCTGCTCGCCCGTCATGTCTAGATCACGTAGTACTCCTTTTGAGGCTTGTCAAGTACACATGTAGAGGAAGGTTTCATCCCAAGGCGTGCTTTTCTTCGACAAATATGGCTAAGTGAGCGATAGACCAGTGTTCTTCTTACTGAATACCTTCAATTGTTTGCAGTAGTTAATGGAGGTATGACAATCTAAAATAAGCAAGACTGGGTTCGCCTGTCGAGATGACCACGTCTTGTTGGCTACGTATGTCCCTGAAATGCTTGGGTCCTGCCAGTGCCGTCTCGGTTAATTGGAGTAAGTAGGACCCAAGCTTATAATGGCTTGCTCAGCTGCACAATGGTCTTGCCAGGATCCACATCTCTAAATGTCATACTATACACGAAGCCTAAGTAAGTCCGGATTTGCACCAGATAATATGTACTTCTATTTCTGATCCCAGAGAGTTCTAAGGATACCCAAAAATATTTCTTCTGTGATCCCAAATTTAGATTCCGTACTGTAGTGTTGAGGAATAAATACCTTGGCTAAGGAGAACAGAAATTCAAGATCATTTTAACTGGAAACCCCTTTTGCCCATCAGAGGATGGAACCGGAACTAAAGTACAAATTCGGTATGTATCCCTCCTATCTCATTAAGGGCCACCTGAGCGCGATTTGAGATTGCCTAACTATTCAGAATACGGCAAGCGTTCGGTTACTTGCATCAATCGTTGCGGCCGCAAAATAGGAAAAGACGAGCTCCGAGTCGGCTCTCGGCATAAAGAACAAAAGAACAACAAACAGATCCAGTGGGAATGGCGACACTGGTAAATGGAGACTAAAGCTCAGTGTCCTTGATTGTATTTTACTAATATTGCTAAGGTCGTGTATTCCCGATGAGGTAATGCATGATATTGTCATAACGAATTTCGGCAAAGGATGTTTAGAGCGTCCAGACTTAATGCTTACGACCTCGGGCGTGGCAGATCTGACAGATTGTCCTCTTCGCGAAGTAGACGAGCAGGATATGTATTACAGTATTTTGCAATACTGCGAAAAGCAAGCTTCAAATAAAAAGGTACATTCATACTCCAGCTCTTTCTTGGCCCATCTGAGAGTTACGAACTTTTGCCATATTATCATCAAACCAAAATTTTACTAATTCAGTTGCCTACGTACAGGGTCATAGACCGAAAAGAGACAGACTTCATCATTCTACTGGCCATAGGAGAAAAGACATCACGAGTGTCGACGAAAGACATCAAAAGGCTCAAAAAGGCAATGTGCAAACGACGCCCGAGTCCGAGGCGGAAGAAGTGAAAACCCGCCCCCAAGACCCCTCAAGACACCCCCCAACCCGTTCCCAGACGCCCCCAGAGACACCCCCAGAGGCTCGCTCAGAAACTCCCCCAAAGCGCAGGGTTAGCCCCAGGAGAGGTCAAATGACGCTCGATGCGGAAGAAGTGAAAAGTCCTCGAAGCAGGGGTAGAACTCGAAAAGGCAAAGGAAGTGTGCATCCTGTGGCCGAGGCTCCCCAAAATAGGCTTGAGGGGCTGATTCTACATGAAATTGAAGCTGTCTGTGACGCACTACATGACATCATAGAATACATACGCCGTGAGCAGGGGCGCGGCAAAATGAGTGAATACAGGTAGTACACGATATTAACGGGAGCTATAAGGGCATGCAAAGCGTTAACTCTGGGTTCCTCTATGAACAATTCGATTTATGATTACAAACAATGCAGAGATACAAGATAGATGGAAGATTGTTAAGCGATGTGTTCATTCTTGGCCTCTCGGCGTACTGTTTTCAACCCTTTATTTCGCGATATTGAATCCGGTCATGACGGTCTTTCGCTGAAATGGTTTTTTCGTAGTAAACTTCTGTAGTGGGTTGGCTAGCTAAGCGAAAATCGAGACTAGTTAGGAGACCTAGCCGCTCTAAACTCACCAAGTTAGTTGTGGAGTTCGGCTTGAAAACGAGACGGTTTAATGTTGTGAAGGCAGTCTGGATGACTGAAATTGCACATTATGTTGATCAAATTTCACGATAACGAATTAAGATACGTAATTAGTTATTACGGCGTAATTCCCCGTGAACCGGCAATAATATTCGCTGAATTAGAATTCGCTGGTAAGTTCCGTCCGCGAAATTCTGTAGCCTCTAGCATAAAAGAAAATATTAACGTCTTCACGAGTCAATCTATGAGGTTGAGAGGAGACTATGTTGATCCCCAGTCCCCAAGAAAGTATAATCTGGACACATTCTATATGTGAACTATACAAGCAGTGAAGGCTGGTCAAATCCAGCGTTGAGCTTTCTATCACGTCTCACGAGAGGACGTTTGCCTAAATGCTCACGCATATGGCCTCTGGCAACCTACAGCATGTAAATATCAGATTCGAGCCTTTGTATGCAGGGATAGTCATTCATGATGTATTGAGTTCTGTGTATCTGCGTGGACTCTCATTTTTCGACGTCACAGTAGTTAACATGCATCTTCCACACTCAGCTACCGCCCCGTCATAAAAGTACTCGGAAGATAAGTAGAACGGCTGCAGCCTGATTTTGTGACTAGATTGTAAAAGAGACACAGTAACATTATCGGTACTTGTGGTCTTATATATTTTCCTATTTATATTACAGTAACTTACTGTAGCAGTGTTGTGCGTAACATCTTCAAGGGTCAAATTCCGATACTAGACCATAAGGATATAATAGGCAAGGATCATGAGAGTAGAAAGTGTTAAAATCCTCATGCAAGAAATAGACCTATTGTCAATAACACGGACACCACGGCATACTAGCAGTCGGAATATTCTAGGGTATGGTGAAGATAAAGTCAGCACTGATCGCCCGCATGAGTCAAGTGCATTGGGATCCGCTCCATAGTCCAGGAGGAGTTTGATGATCATGATATGTCCACTCTGGATTGCCAAAAACAGAGGCCCCGCCTCCGCTGTAAGCCCAGGCGGAGGACTTGGGCTCACATCACACCTCAAAAGTAATTGAACAACTCGGCAGTGACCGTTTGCGGCTGTTATGCATATAGGCGCCAATTCTGTTCGTAACCATGATGTGGCTTCATCTCGCACTATTGCATCCGCTGGACAACCATGCCTCAGGATCTTTTGCACAAACTCTTCCTAGCCACACGCAG